TTCACAGGGGCTCCCGCCTTGGCATCCTGCCCCGTCACTCACTCCTGGATGGTGTCCCGATCGGCAATGTTCCCGCACGTCATGGCCCGGAGGATGATCTCGTGCTCCTCCTCGGACACGCGCTTGTGGGAGGTGAGGGGCAGCAAGCAGCGGCTGGCAGGGGACGGGTCCACCCCCTGCAGCCACGTGTGGCCCTCGATCTGCTCCAGGGAGGCTCGCTGCTTCGGATCCCGCTGCAGCATCCTGGAGATGAGACTGCGGGGGCAAGGGGTGACGCTGCAATCCCGCAGCAGCATCCGAGCCCCGGACACGGGGGCTTTTCCCCTCTTTCCCACCCCAGCTCCCGCAGGCATCCCCCAGGGACGGGGCACCCACCCCCGGGGGCAGCAAGTCGGGGTCCAGGGGGAGCCGGGGTGGGGAGAGGTGCTTACTCAGAGCACTGTGCCGAGATGTGCGGGGGGACAGTGTAGCGGCAGTCCATGATCATGGTGAGGGTCTCGCTGTCGTTGGCCTCCTGGAAAGGGGGATGGCCGCACACCAGCATGTAGAGGATGACCCCCAGGCTCCAGATGTCTGCAAGAAGCAGGAGTGGTTCAGATTGCACCCACCGTGGCCCAGGAGAGCATCCCGACCCGGGGGGGGGGGGGGGTGGCCACCCCACCAGTCCCGAGTGCCGATCCAGCAGAGACCAGCGCTCACTGGGATGCTCCTTGGGGGTAACGGCTCCCAGGTCCTGCCCCACAGACAGGGGGGACCCCAGCCCCCCCGAGGCGGGGGGGACACCTTCCCCATCCCCACATCCAAGCAGGTCTCAAGGGGCTTCACCAAAGCAGTTGAGGCCTTATCCCCTTTCCCAGGTGGGGACAGGGAGGCCAGCCCCGAGCTCTGTCCCCCCCGCCTGTCACCCACCCGCAGCACCATTTCGTGTCATTACTCAGCTTCCCAGTTCCCGAACAGACCCCGCCATCAGCATCCCGGCACTGGGCTGCGCCGGAGGGGACACCACGGCGACGGGACAGGGCACGCAGCACCGATCCGGGCTCTCCAGCTGCCTACAGCCGCGTGGGCAGCAGCCCGAGCGGGATCGCTGCCCTGCCCTGGGGACAGGGACGGAGCCAGCGGCATCTTCACCTGCTCCTCCTGACGAGTACATAAACTCTCTGCAAAAGCGCTTTTTTAGGATGCTGAGCACGCCCCGGGCTCTCCGTTAATACCTTCAGCTTCTTAAGTCAAGTGCCTGCGTTTGAAAATTTCTCATCTGCGCCGCTTTCCTCCCTTCATTTCCCTTTGCAGAGCCACCAGCTTATTTTTCTACCGTCTCCACAAGCCATCCCCATTTTCAACTCCGGAGCCGCTGGGCTTTTTCCTTTAAGGGCTCGTGTTTTGACTTGCTAAATCCTCCTGCCCCAAATTCCAGCAGAGCTGGCTCAGGTCCCGCTTCCCTCCGACGTCCCCTCTGTCCCAGCAGAGCCTCTCGGTGGCCCCAGCCCGGCTCCCCATGCCCCGGGACGATCTCCCCGGCGCCCGTGCACCCCGGCCAGGGGAGGAAAGGCGCTGGGACCCATGGGGAGGAAGTGGTTTTCAGGGCGGGGACGGAGCAAAGGAAACTTTCGGAGCTCCTCCGCCCAAACGCCAGCATCCCGAGCAGGTTTCCTTCTGGCATCACCCCCGCTAAATAACAGCTAGCCGGTTATTTAGGCTTGCCGGCCCCTGCACCCTCACGCTGCTCCTCCCGAGCCCCGGCAGATGCCACGCCAGGCTCACAGCCTGCTTGGGCTTTTTCCCCTCCCCGGCATGAACCATCGCTCTGCGGGATCTCGGCGGGTGCGGGGAAGGTCTCCGCAGGGAGGACCACCCTGTGCCAGAGCAGGGCTGAGCAGCCGAGCAGCCAAGGGACGGGATTCCTCCCTGCGGGGACAGCAGTGCCACCGGGGCATGGGTGCTCCCAGCGTAAGGGGCCAAAAGCGAGGCGGTACCCGGCCGGCAGGACCACGCTCCGGGGAAGGGACACGCGGGAGGCACGTCCCCAGGGCGAGCGCCAGCCGTGGCTGCACCCCATCGCCCTTACCGACAGCCGGGGCGTCGTACTCATCCCCGAGCAGGATCTCGGGCGCCGAGTAGGCCAGCGAGCCGCAACTGGTGGTGAGCATCTTGCCGGGTTGGAAGCGGTTGCTGAAGCCGAAGTCGGTGAGCTTGACCACCCCCTGCTCCTGGAAGAAGACGACGTTCTCGGGCTTGAGGTCGCGGTGCACCACGTGCAGCTTGTGGCAGTAGGAGATGGCGTGGACGATCTGGGCGAAGTAGTGCTTGGCCCGCACCTCGGCCAGCCCGCCCTCGTGCCGCATGATGTGGTCGAACATGTCGCCGCCGTCGCCCAGCTCCAGGATGAGGTAGAGCTTGGCGTGGGTGTCGATGACCTCGTAGAGGCGCACCACGTTGGGGTGCTGGACCAGCTTCATGCAGCGCACCTCTTGCAGGAGCTGCCCCGCCGCCTCCCCCGCCAGCTTGCTCTTGTCGATCACCTTGACGGCCACCCGCTGCCCGGTGAAGACGTGCCGCGCCAGCTTCACCACCGCAAAGTGGCCCTTGCCCAGCGTGCGCTCCAGGTCGTACAGCCCCGCGATCTTCCCCTCGCCGCAGCCCTGCACCCCGGCCATGGTGGCAGCGTCAGGTGGGGACAGGCATTGGGTGCTGTTGGAGGGGGAGCTGCTGAGCAATGGAGGGCGGGGGACGGAGCACCCCGAAATACCGGCCCCCCCAGCACCCTGGGCACCAGGATCCCCAGGACATCAGAGTCCCCAGCAGCCTGGGCACCAGCAGCCTGGGCACCCCCAACACCCCACCTCCAGGTCCCCAGCACCCCAATACCCTCACTCTCAGCACCCGGGCCACCCCCATCCCCCCCCCTCCACT